TTTTTAACTAAAAATACACGTTCAATACTAACAAAAATCAGATAAGATATGAAAAAAACACTTACGGTTTGTCAAGGTGTTTGTATTGCATGATATCTTCACAATTTAAGTGTAAGTTGAGCATAAAATATCCAACAAAACGACAAGCAAACCAAGAAAACTGTGACGACCTCAAACTCACAAACCAAACTGACGCTCGCGCACGAGTCAAACAACAGATAAAGGCGGGAAAATAATACTCGATGCTGATTGGACAAAACTATAACGAAAGCACAGGTAGACCAACTCATAACCAGAGACAAGAAATAAGGCAATGTATTAAGGGAGCTGTAATCCTCGCACTTTTTCTTACTGAAACGGACCTCATAAGCCATTTWTATTTCTCAGTAGAAATAGAAGTAGTTTTGCCATGTATTCAAGTTAGACTAATTATAAAAAAGGCTATCAGGGAGATTATTATGGCCCATGAAAAGAGCGAGTCCCTTCGTGGTTTAAGATGACTCGTTTTTTTTATGCATATTTAATTAGAGGGAACAATGGCCCAAAGTCCGAAAATATTGACATTTATGATAATCAAAAGGCACTAATGAGAAAGAAACATCCATTTTGAACTCCCTTTGCTCGCGTAAGCGCAATTCATCATTGTTTCAAATTCTTGTGCATCCCCCGGCCCCCTTTCCTGCACATTTCTTTGTTTCCCCATTTCGTTGAAACAGGAAAATTGATTTCCACCCCTCTGAATTCCTCTTCCCAACGCTTGGAGATAACTAATGACACTCCCTAAGCGAATTAAGATTTTTCATGTACAGAAAAAGTTCTTTCTGGTATTAAAACTTTTGGACTTTGCTTGAGCTTCACATTATCTCAAAGGTTTCTTTTATTCACCTTATAACTACTCCCCGATTCTACCGAACAGGAACGCAAGGCTGAATGTCACCATAACAACGGCAATCCTCAGATTTGGATCATCTTCGCTTCATTGGAAAAAACGCTGCAGCAAAAATGTCACAATGTGATATAATGAGCTCAGAAACGTATAGTGAAAATACTTTCCTACTACAAGTTGCTCTATGGGGAATTATATTAGATCGTGGGCAAGAACATTAAAATCAACTTCTCATCCATTTTTATTCAGCTCAAAAAAGCATAGAATTGTAAAGAATTGGATAAACATTTTGGAAATGGAAGAAAACTTTTTGCGTTATTGACTCAGATTCAAATGTCGCCCCCTTGTTGCAATTTAGGAGTTAAGACATTATCTWCTGAAAATTTGTTTACTGCTTTTTGCAACTTTGCTGCATATCTTTATAAAAACCAGTAGAGATATTTTTGAGTTTCAAGCCGGAAATCTATTGTCATGGAAACTTTTTTGGTCAACATATTTGAAAATACAGTACGTAGCTCTCATCTCATTATAATTGTATCTTGCAGCTGAAGGCAGAGAACCCCCGTGAAAGATTATCTTCCGTCGAAGGTGTTAATTGCAATTCATTTTGTAAAACCGACTTTACATTTATTATGTTATCCTTCTTTTGTATTACATTTTACTGGAATTGACAGTCAAAACATGCCTTTAATAACACAGATAGACTTTTGCCAGGAAATCCTGGAATTTCACAAGGCAATTCCTGGAAAATCTACCGCAAAAAGATCAAAATACTGCGAAAACGTCTTAAACAACAACAAGAAAATGGCATCAAAGCAGACTAGAAATAAGGCAAAAGTACCGACTCAAAGRCCTTCGTTTCTTTCTGGAATCGTTAAACGTCCAAAACACAGCTGTTTCTTGCCTTCAAAAGAGGAAAAACCTGAGAAATGCATAAAGCAAATCGGCGAAAAAGTTTCAGGGACAGACAACGGAAATGGCATATTATTGGAATTTTGTACGAAGTCTTACAGAATAACATCAAATGAAGATGGTTCGCATTTCATTGTTGTTGAGCGGGATTAGTTGTTTTAATAAGTCTACTTGCGTTCTTATTCGGAATGTGTCGTTTTATGCTAGAGCGTTATCTTTCTTGTGTGTGATTTGAAAAATCATTATAGACAGGGACGGTGGAGCAGTTTTAAGAGCATACCTAATCCAGGCACCACAATCAAATCTCATCTCGGGATTAAAATTGTTATTTATTATATTTACTTTAGTTTTTTTTTATTTCTTTTTGTTTTGTTTTTCATGCCTTAGCTCCGCAACTTCAAACTCTGCATACTTTTAGGTTGGCTATATATTGATATATACCAATTTCAAATGAGATTGTCGGATAAAATGGCGAACGTCAATGGCGAACGGCAATTGCATGACAGAAAGTAGACATTGAAGGGAAATACTGAACAACTGATTTATACTGTAAGATAGTCTGTGTTAAACATGGGCTACATTTAATCTCCATTTCCATTCGAGGGGGATCCAAGCAATAAGTGAAATTTTGTTTGTCAAAACAGTATAACCATAGTCCCTTTCGGTCCCCGCAATCTCACCTCAACAATCGCCATTCGCATAGTTCTCCCCGACAACGTTTTTGAAATAGGTATATTTATTTTAGTACAAGGAAAGTATGTAATTATTGTTTTAGTTGCGCTCAAGTTTCCCTTTTATCTTCACGGAAAGGCGGGCGGGGGAGCCTGTTTTGTAATTGACCGGCCGTAACATTTATCATTTGTTGTTGTGTTTCTTAGATAAGTAAAATGTTTAATTTAGGAACTATTACAGTACTATAATCCATCTTTTTCACTTATAGTTTTGTGGTGAAAGGTCCTATATTTTCTCTCGAGTGTTCGGAGTTCCACTCCAAAAGACGGGTTCATTTCTTTTTCTTTTGTAGTTGATTAACTGAAAAATATAAGTCTTGTTCCTTCCAGCATTTATTATGATAGGAAATATTATCCAAAGCCGTGCAGGAATTTCGCCTTAAGCATACATGCAATCTGTACTTTTCAATTCGCTACCTTTCACAATCACAGTATCATATTCAGTATTGTTGACCCTTAATCAAAAGTGCACCAGATATGCTCTCTATATGCCTTCTATATATCACGTTACTCGAACTTTAATACGAATACAAAAACATATCAGACACAATCACACTGAAACTACGATCAAGAATGGGCTTCACGTACTATAGCGCAGTCATTATTTTGTTTTTAAGTCTTCTGGGCTTTGATCCCGTTCAAAGGTAGGTATATTATCGACTTCAAATTTGCCATTTTTACTCTTTTGAAGTCAGTTCTGCATGTTGTGACGGCGTTTGAGTGCCCTTGGACAAATATCAAACAACACGATTACGCATTCAACAACAAAAACACGCATCACACTGAAAAGGTACGGTACAAAACGACTTTAAAATATGCAGTAAAACTCCTATACGTCAACGTCATGAACGATGCAGTGGAAATTCTTTTAGTAACGCGGGTCCGCAGCAGCCTAAATCGAATTGCCGTTATTTTTTATGCGTAGTACAACTTAAGTACAGCGTAAAACGGCGGAGTGCTGTAATGTTTATCATTTCCAACATTCTCGTTGAATGTCATAAAGAATAGAAGACGAGATTCGATGTAACAAAAGAATCATCCGATGCTGTCCTTATAAAGCCTCGTTTTCTATTGTGTACGAGGTTAGTGGAAATATCGAATGTACTGGTTAAGAGATTGCTGCGACTTAGGATTTTTAATATTTCGTGCATTAAACAATGAAGACGTTACAAAATTTGCCCTTTGTAATACTTACATATATCAACTTGGGTCATATTTTTCTTGTTTGCGTAGTGGGTACCTTATAACTACTCCACGAGTCTACCGGACAGGAACCGTACAAAGGCTGAATGTCCACCTCTWTGCAAACGGCAACCAGACKTGGWCCATTTCCGCTTCACTRAAAAACACACGCAATAMAGATGTCATTGCGCACGCCTCGAAGGTGTTTGCTGGGGACACGCATGGGACCATCGACATCAAGGTGGGCTTATCATTATCATGACRTCATCATTATCATCATCATCATCACTCTTCATTATACATACGTCGATATAAGACTTATAAGAATCATGATGATTACTATTGATAACTAACTATAATAATTATTTCAAAATACTAAGAAGTCCTGGTCACAGTATGTGTGTTTATCCCAGGAGGGGAGAACTCGTATATTTATGGAAAGGTGGGAATAATCGTCGTATCTAGCTTTTAGGGGTAAAATCAGGAAACTCATTGTATTTTTGATTTAAAACATCGTACATTTTGTGACATTATTTAGACGTTCACGCCATGTAACCGTTATAATTCTTTCAAAAAGGTCCCTGAAAACGTTCCAAATGTCCGATATGGTAAGTTTGACAATGTATTTGTCGAGGTGATTGGTTTTTCTACTGGTCAACCAAGCTTTACAAAAAAACAGTCYTTGACGCTTGAAAAACTCGAAGATACTCTGTTTATCCAGACGGACAAACCAATCTACAAACCTGGACAGACTAGTGAGTCAATTTATTATGATRCAGGTYAATACTCCATTTAACACGGCACCATCATGAAATYTGTCTTASGTATCTATCACTGCAGGCTCAACTCCTGTCTCGCTTTGATGCAAGAGTTCATTTCAATATGGTGATCAGAACTGTAAAATGGAGAATTGAAATRTCTAATGAGATGCAAAATGTGCATTGCAAGGTTTCATTTTGTGTTTTTATTATAGTTCATTTGAGAGTAATTGGAATCAAGTCAGATTTAAAACCTCTTGTTGGAAAGGTAGGTTTGTCTTTTTGTTTATTCAGTCAGTCGYTTGTTTATYGCGATATTCATTCAGAACSCAGTTTCCTGCTCCTTCTGGTTTGCARTCTCAAGTGAACAAAAATCCCTTGAGRACTAACAATGAACAAGACATTTTGCCAGCCATGTTTGTGTTCCGTAACYGTAAAACCCGATGAGAAATCGCTTGTTTAATGTGTACAAATAAATATGCCCGCTTTTAAGTTATCTGAAAATCCACTAGAATWTATTTTCCTTTTTTAATTTAGTCGGCTTATTACTCATCCAGCCTCTTTTTTCACTTTCATTCGTCCTTTCATATCTTCATTCATTGAAGTAATTTAATGTCTGCATTCCTTCATTCATTCGTCCAATCATTGCATGAAACCATTCGTACAGTACTAATGAATCCCATGAMATTTTTTTAGATCAAAGAGCTATACATCACAGTAAGTCCAAAGTGTTGTTCATATCATGTGTTAAGTTTTTTTTCGTCAATTTAATGTATATATTGGTGTATTCAATAGAATCCTACGGGAGTACGAATGATGCAGTGGAACAACTTGGACTTTATTAACGGTAAGAGTAATGAAATAATAGACAGAAATTTAGAAGGGTGGGCTGCAATGACGTTTTTTATTATTTAAGTTGTGGGCTGCATTGACGTTTTTTATTATTTAAGTTCTTTATGTCATATATTTGGGAATACTTGATTTGTAAACTTACCTTTTTCACGGTCTTTTCTCTATGTGTTTTCCAGGAATTGCAAGCGTTGAGATGCCTTTATCTAAGTATCCAGTGCTTGGAAAGTGGAAAATACAAACAAAGTATAAGGTATATGCATCTGTAGCATCCTCCTCCCTATAAATCTCCCCCATGAACCAACCCGCCAAACCCCCAACCCCCAACCCCAAATTCTCCACACCCCACCCCGCCCTATATTTCATTTTTGTCTTAATTTGCATCATATTATAATTGCAGGGAAAAGGAATTCACAAAATCATCGAAATTTCCAAATACGGTAACTATAATTCGCCCTATGAAAGGGAATCCGGAGCGTCCTGGATTGCGGATTCTATGAAAGGTTTCGCAAAAAGAGACTGCATTCTACCATATTGGATTCACAATGCAAACATCCTAATCCTTCTTTTGTTGTCAGTGACAATCGGAAAACATTTGTAGTCACAAATTTGGGTTCCAGATTCCTCTTGTTTTATCAGATTCCTCTTGTTTTATCAGATTCCTCTTGTTTTATCAGATTCCGTTTCCATTGCTGCGGATTCCGGATTCCAATTTTCTGGATTCCGGAGTGCCAAATTTTTGTTGGATTCTGTGTATTGGTGATAATAACATAAAATTCTTATCTTATTCTGTCCCAGTCCTTCCAAAGTTTCAAGTGACCATTAATCCTCCTTCATACATAGCCAAAGACCGTAAGGTTGTAACTGGTACTATCTGTGCAAAGTAAGGCTGATAATCATTATGGATTGATTATTATTTTTGAGTAATATAATGCATTAATATTTTTTGATCTATTTTACAAAATCAACATTATTTTTCTCCTAACTTCAGACGTTTGCTGGTAAATCTTTTTTTGGTTTATTTGTATGAATAAAGTGAATTTAGATATGCGCTTTTTTAGTGGATTGAAAAACACCGAAGGAAATGAAGGAAGTCTACAATGCTTCCGGTTTTCAATTAATTCCCTGGTTAGCTCTTCACAGTTTTGCAAGATCTTATCTGATTGGTTTACTAGCTATTTGTTGGACAAAAGAAAACAATAGGATTTAAGAACGAGGAAACAATGAGCATTGTTTTATTCCTCCAATCACAAGAAACCTTACAAACTCGTGAATTATAATAGACCTGCCTGGGATATTTGTGAGCGTGTTGAATTACTGGCACGAGTTAAATAAGTTTTCTCTGTGTTCTAGGTATACTTATGGTCAGCCTGTGACGGGTATTTTAGATGCAAAATTCGTTTTCAAAMAGATAACTCATCGAAGGTTTCGATATTGGTATCAACGACGTAATAAAGGCGTAGTCATCAATCATTCTGTAAAAATAAAGGTTCGTTGATACCCAGATCTACTTAGCGTGATCTGGTTGTAGATTATTTCTTTAACTTTCTTTAACAATGCTTTGGTGGATACATTTTAGTGGACACATAGCTTTACTAACTATGGAGGAAGAGTGGTCCACCGTGAAGTTTGATGTTGTATTATTAAGCAAATTCTTTCTAACCTAACTTTTTTTGGCCACTTTTTCTCCAAAACTCTTTTTAAAACATTTATGTTAAACATTTACTGGTCACTATTTCTGTTATATAGATCAAGGGCTGTGATACCTTTACTTTCACCAACAAAGATTTCGATTTGAAAAATGTCCACTTCAACCATCGTCACAAAAAGCCATTTCTTACCATCACTGCAAGCGTTACAGAGGAAGCAACAGGCATAACTCGATCTGCTGAAAAAACCSAGACAACAGTAGTCGAAACAAAGGTCAATCTTAAGTTTATACAAACACCAGATCATTTTAAGCCTGGACTTCCATTCTTTGGAAAGGTAAGAAAATAACAATCTTCAACTGAGGAAAAAAAATTTCATATAAATTCGACTTTGTATTGACTATCAAACACCATTCGGGAGCTAGGGTTGGTCTTGTTCCCTTATGACGTTATATTTGTTATGTCGAAGTGCATCATGGTATAGAAGGGGGATGAAGTATAGCTAAACTACGAAAGACGACGATTGTTTTCGCAAATGACAAAACAAAACAAGTACAGCAGAGCAGAGCAGAGCAGAGCAGAGCAGAGCAGAGCAGAGCAGATTGAAAACATAGAAAATATAAGCATTTCATAGATAATTGAATATTTGATTCAGAAAATAATATCAAAAAGTTTTTGACTATCATATTTTGTTTCAGGTAAGTGTGACGTCACCTGACGGAGAACCGCTGGCCAAGAAAACYGTTACSATCACTGCMAAGGATGGTTACAAACAGKTCTTTAYCAAGACGTTCGYTACATCACAAACAGGGATAATAGACTTTGAAACAGCACATATACCTCTTAGTTGTATTAAACTAAATCTTGAGGTGAGAAGAATCGACTGTAGTTATTACAAAATCTTGATTCTATATTTAATTATTTCTAGTTCATTTCATTTCTTAGCTCTTTCTTAAGTTTTTGTAGTTTTTCTTTTGTTCATTGTCGATTCATTTTAGTGCATGCATTTTCAGTTTTATGTCAGTTCATTTCGCTAAATTTCAAAGTTCTTTTCATGTCTTTCATTTAATTTATTCTACTTAGTTCTGTTCTAGCTGATTCACCTCCGAATTTCTCGTAATTTCTTGAAAGTGTTTTCTATCATCCCACCAATTCCTTTAGAATAGAATAGTTTACTGGACATTTACWATATATRTATGTATAGGTATAKCATGTTTTGTAATGGTATTTGGTATAATTACCACCACACGTAATRTTTCAAAAATGTCAAACCAAATTTCACAATTTTATTCAACCATATTATAACAGGCTGAACATTATGGTAGTGCCCGCGTTTCGACGAAAAAGGAATGCAATCCATGGTTCTCCCCCAGCTCAAGCTTCCTGTTGCTGAGGAAATTGAGAAAACCACTYAAGGTTGGGATTTAGTGTTAGTGTATACAATGCGCAGAAATGTTATCAAAAATGATTTTTGCTAGGTTGGAGATCAAGCGACGGTTAATTTCCAGTATACTGTAAATGGAAACAAGAATGTTCGTAGCTTCGTCTATAATGTAAGTAAGTTCATTGAACTTAACAAAATTGAATTTTGTTATTTTGTTATTTTTTAAAATGGCGAAGTTCGGACGCAAAGACTTTTGTATATACATATTATATTCTTTAATATCCAAAAAACTTTCTGTGTGAGCACAATGAAATGAATCTTGAATCTTTTGTATCTGAAAAAAGGGCGTACGGCCGAAATATGGGTCATATGATAATCAGCCATGTTTACATTCCTTTTGATTTGTATAGTTTACAACATGAGCGGCCGTGTTGTATGGGAAATTACAATCTCGAGCCGCACAAATTAATTTGAATTACAGTGAGATAAATGACGAAAAATATCAATTAAGGAAACTGCTGAGTTTAGTCGCTATCAAGCATGCGCAATTTTCTCCAACACAGAACATTTTTAATAATTATCCATCCCACATGGAAAGCAAGCCATCCCTTGCATAAACGAGTTCTGTTATCCGTCTTTGTTTGTTAAAAACCTAGTGAAGGTCTATGATGCGGTACTAAAACTGAGACCTTTGCTAGTGTTGGATTGTCTCAAGGTGACGATCGTGTTGTAAATCTTATACAACACTAGTGGTTGTATCAGATTTACAAGGTCAATCACCTGATTAAATGGACAGCCCTTATTGGAGTAATAGCTCATGCATTATTAATCAGTTTTATAATTGAAATTACTCAACAGCTGATGTGCAAGGGAAGTGTTGTTTTAACAGCACAAACAAACCGTACAACTCCCCAGCAGCCACTCCAGCAATCCTCCGCAGCCAAGGAATCATTTGACTTCACAGTGACTCAAGCGATGGTTCCTGCTTGCCGTTTACTGGTGTATTTTATCAGGAAAGACGGTGAGGTGGTTGGAGACAGCATGATGGTCGACATACAAGATAAACTGGAAAATCAGGTTACAGACTTGTTTTACTTAAAAACAGGCATTTTATACAGTTGCTGGGCTCTCCAAAAAGAAAAAAATAAATCCAGCAGAGMTAGTAAAAACCMAATTGAATTTTAACACAGGTTTCTTTKAAATCTTTGGTACAGTTGAAAATCAAAGTTTACACGAATTGAAGAGAAAAATAGACGTAGAAATTAAGAATACATTTATAACTAAATAAAATTGATGATAAAAACTAATTACGTTTCTATTAATATGCGCACAAATCCTTGTGTTTCTTGTGTTTTTGATTTCTAGTTTGGCCTGTGATTTCAGGTTGTTGTTCGATTCAGTGATACCGTCCGTAGACCAGGTGAACGTGTTCAAATCACGATGACCGCCAGTCCTGGTTCGACTATAGCGCTGGCTGGTGTTGACAAAAGCGTCCGACTATTAAAGCAAGCCGAGGATCTCACACCACAAAAGGTATTGTTTTTGATGTTAAATCATATAATTATGCTTTTAAAGCTTAGATTATAGATTCAAACTCTCTGCTGTAAAATGTGCAACCAAATTCRATGCATCAACAGTGAACTGTGAACAGAATTATGCTATTTATATCAATATGGCTGATTTTCTGTATGAGAAACCCAAGCTAGCCACGACCGCGTTGCATGACTGTTGTTACTGACCCTTTAATCTGATTATTGAAATTGAATGAAATTTCATTGATGTATTTTCAGATCGTCAGTGCTTTACCGTACAATGCGGGCCGATCAAGTCGATACAACACGAGGTCTTGTTATAAAGATATCTATGTGGATGCATCAAAAGCCATCTATGTAAGCGAACTAACATTCCTCGTTAAGAAAATAYAACAGACAGTACTAGTGATTGTTTTTTTTTTCTTGTTTTTTGTTAATTTGCTCGCTTATTGCATGCCAGTATGGCGGATTTTGTACCATATGATCGTTTCATGTAAAAGGCCTATTGCAATATATATATACGTAAAATACTGAGCAATATATACTGAAGGTACAGCGGTTAGACGATTTCATCCCCTTGCAAGTTTCTGGCAAAGGGAGAATCTACGTAGCACTCAGTTGATGTAATATATTCATAAAGATATAATACAAAACACATAATACAATAGAACGAGAAACAATGGAATACAATACATTTTATGAATACATTACATCAACTGCGTGCTACGTAGGTCACCCCTTCTGGGCAAAAGCATATATATGTGACCGATGTCATTGTAAAAGGCACTTACGTTGCTAAGGTCCCTTTTGTTCGCAGTTCTCTACCCTACAGATCACTAGTCAGGGGCGTGTTTTTTAGGTGCTTTTTGCAGTGACAACACTCATATATATATATGAGAAGGGACAGCACAAAAGGAGGTTAAAGAATTAAGACCCTTTTGATGCAAACCAACCAATGAATTGCCTCTTTTGGAAGACTGGATTTTCGCGCTAGACACAAGACCCCTTTTGTGATATACTCTCTCATCTTGGCCTGAACTTAGACCATGCACAGCACGCAAGACGCAAATCAACCGATGCTGCGCAGACGCACAACAACGCCCATTGACCGTCATGCACCTGGACAATAGACACGAACACAACGCCCGAAGTTTCTTTTTTTCTTGGTAATAAAAGCCGAAATTACTGATCAAAAAAGCCCACATTGATTGGTAACCTTCCTTGCAGGCAGGACAATGATGAGAAGGGACAGCACAGAAGGGGGTTAAAGAATTAAGACCTTTTTGATGCAAACCAACCAATGAATTGCCTCTTTTGGACGGCTGGTTTTTCCCTCCTGTCACAAGACCCCTTTTGTGCTGTACTCTCTCATATATATATTTATTATGTGTGTTTTTTTTTGCTATTATGTTTATCTATTATGTTTTTCTATCTAATTATTATTTTTGATTTGTTTAGGACGCTGGATTAATCTTTCTCTCAGATTCAAACATCGAATCGCGTCCTTGTCGTCCCTTTCCTACTCGGCGTCCTATATCTCTATATTATAACCTCGAGCACTATGGTTTATGGTTTGGTGGTGGATTTGCCGGAATTGGCTTGGATGGACCGTTCACACAACGTAGACAAAACCAAAACCGAAATCGTCTGAAGAAGATCAAAAAGAAAATTCCAAAGACCAAGAAAGCAAAGAAGAATACGCAGCAACCGACAAMGTCTGTACGAAAACATTTCCCTGAGACATGGYTTTGGGTAGAGGAAAGATTAAAGTAAGAAAAAAATGAGTGTTTRATAATCGAAAATGATTCAATAACTCCAAATCTAATGATGAATAAACTATGGCTCAAAATGTTAATCTTTAGTTTACAATAACTGCTTTTTAATTCATCATTATTGTTTTTTCCTCTTTATTATTATTGCGTTTGTGTTGTTTGGTTTAAATCCGATAAGAACGAAATACCTGAAATAACGAGAGATCAATAAAAGCAAGAAACATACCGTCCCCTATTCATTTRAAAAATATCTGTTTATTATACTTAGAAACAAGTTGTTGCTTGTGGTTAGTTTTTAAAGTATTTTGTTTTTGCCTATTTCTTCGATTTCAACTCAAATAAGATCATCAAATAGCCAGCAGATTACACAAATCTTTGAATTATAATAATCTTCAGCTTCGTTCTTTTGAATTCAGCAATTCTACGGGACTGAAGACGATCAGCGCCACCGTTCCAGACACCATTACAAGTTGGTATTTAAGTGCGTTTGCGATGTCGTCAATGACTGGAATGGGCGTKGCAGACCCCTCYACACTCACCGCTTTTCAACCATTCTTTATTTCATTCACTCTTCCATATTCTGTGATTCGTGGAGAACAAGTCAGTGTTGTAACCACTGTCTTTAATTACATGTCTGAATGCGCCACGGTGAGTTTGAGTTGGGGGAGGGGAGGGGAGGGGAGGGGAGGTGTGGGAAGGTTAGAGGAAGTGGGACGGGAGGAATTTGAACAATTCTAGTTTAGCTACAACTACCTTATATGACCATTTGCCCCTCCAGGTTTAACCGCTGCGTACTATGTTTGACACAAAAATGCATACGCACTGGTTTGATTTGATTTGATTTGATTTCAATTATTTTTTGTTGACTAGAAGTCATGTATTCAATATAGATAAAAATCTTTGTTTCATGTACTTATTTGGAAGGTCATAACACGTGAAAAAGACGCATTGTTTCGTTATGAATTGAAATTTAAGTCGTTTTCAGCAATCAGCACTAACATTAATTGATTGACAGGACATAATTACACACTGCATTCATTATTTGCACACATTTTTGCTAAGGTAGCTTTCAGCATTTTAAAGCTCTTGTTGGTTGTCATGGTGAACATCATCATATTCTTTATATTAATATTTCTGTCAAGTCAAGGTCGTTTCATTTTCAAAGGTTGGCGTACGCTTAAAAAAGACATCCGACTTTCAACTCAGTTCTCCTGTGGACCACAATATTTGCATCTGCAGCAACGAGGCAAAGTCCATAAAATACGTCATCACACCCCTTAACCTTGGGCACATTCCTCTCGAGGTCACGGTCAGGACTGTGGGGCCAAGCCTGTGTGGTAACAACTCCAAGGAGGCGCCTCTCGGCATGTCTGATACTGTAATTCGTAAACTACTTGTTGAGGTATGGAATCAAGTATCAATTGACTTAAACAGTGTGGGGATCAGGCCCGTAGCCTGCCTTACAAATGGGGGAGGGGGGTTCGTTTTTTTCATAATGTGGACCTAACTTGACTATGTTTTTAACTAAATTAAATCAATGCACGGGTATAAAGTGTGTAAGAACTGGCTCACTGCTAAAATGAGCAGTTCATAACAAAATACCGGACATTTTTAATCTTGTGGGGGGAAACCCCCCAGCCTACGAGTCTAAGTATATTTTAATCCGGGAAGGGGGAAATTCACATTAACGTTATTATCTTGGTGCTTTACTGTACTTCTTTATAAGAAAGTTAGAGTGTCAGTTTTCAAATAAAACAGCTGTTATCATTAATCATGGTTCCATGTACGTGAGGTAGGCTGCCTTTATGTTTTAAATAGGGCTAGATTCTAGAAATTCTTTATTCTAAGGAATAGAATTAACATAGGTAGCCCTACTACCTATGCCGGGGCACTCTCTCTTGAACAGAAATCAATGCTGCTATTTTTTTCTTCCTTCAGGCAGAAGGAGTTCGACGTGAATATACCTATAGCAGTCTTGTATGTCCTAAAGGTAAAAAAAACCCCGTTTTTTGTTGTTTTTTAAAGGCATATGTTAAATTTTCCTTGCCTCAAATTAAAAAACGTGATCTTCAAAAGATTAGCTGCAGAATTTGTGGTGTTCATCTCAAGAAGACAGTCACAATATATCATCATTATTCTAATCAATATTTACAATTGATCATTATTTTTATTTCAGATACTGCAGGGCGGTTCAATGACAAATTGATACTTTCTCTCCCAAAGAAAGTTGTGCAGGGTTCAGTACATGCCTCGGTGTCAGCTATAGGTCAGTCTCAATAAAATGTTGTTTCGGTTGTGGTTGTGATTTGGGTGGCTAATCGTTGTTGCTCTTGCTTCTGATTTTACTGAACAAATTTGAAAGGATTATTTCGATCTGCACGCGCTTTATAAAAGTTTCCTCCCGKTGCTGCTCTTTTATTCTTCACTTATATCGCTTGGGATTCCTTGTAAGCAGGGAAGTGAGACACAGGAAACCCAAAGGCAAAGACGAAACGACAAGTAGTATAGCTTTTGAAGAGGGAATCTCTCTCAAATAAAAAATCCATTTTGTTGTAGGAGACATCATGGGTCCTAGTCTGACTGGTCTTGAYGGGTTGCTAAGGTTACCAACTGGGTGTGGTGAACAGAATATGGTTAAGTTCGCACCCAATATTTTCATTATGCAGTATCTGAAAAGCACCAATCAGCTWAGTGGAGAAGTAGAAAAAAAGGCAGTGGGCTTCCTAAGAACAGGTTTGATTTAATACCTGGATTACTGTCATCATTAACGTACATCATATTTATATAAATGCTTGCGCCATAAACTGGTAATGGCTTTAAAAAATCCTAATTGAATTCAATAAGCCATCTGCAGGGYACTTAGGCCTCGATTTCATTGCTTTGTTTTTTTCTATTGTTTTCAATTCACATCCAGCTTATGTGAATGCGCATGTCRTCTTGAAACCTTACCTTATATGGTAATATCAATGAGAAGTCAAAACACGACCAAATATCTCTTTTGTCTTAAGCTGCGTATGAAATTTTAATTGTCAGTTATTTCGAATAATCAGAGTATTTTATCTGACAACAGGGTATCAACGAGAGTTGACTTATAAACGAAAAGATGGTTCATACAGCGCGTTTGGCGACAGAGACCAAGAAGGAAGTTTATGGTAAGAATAAARAAGCACATTTCATTTTTATTCATTCATCCAYCCATCCACCAATACWTGCAGAGATCAAATMCTTCACTCATCCATGGTACGTTATCTATAAACCCATCTACCCGTGCACGTCCCCCACCTGGCCATCCGTGAGCAGCCT